ACCCAGGCAAAAACTCTCCAAGAACAGAGGGGCAGTTCATACCTCATCAGGGCATGTATGGGACAAACCCAGCCCAGCCTCACAGGAACAAAGGACGCTGGCCTAGGCAGCAACAAAGGATCTGTTGGACCCCCTTCCCTTGGTCAGTTTGGGACTACGATGAGGTAATGCTCACCTGACTCTGAAGGGAGGGGCAAAGCCAAGAGGGAAGAAAGAATATGATAAAAGGGAGAGATGTTTGCCAGGCTCTTCCTCTCTCTTCCACCTCTGTCTACAGACATCACCACTAAGAGACTGAAGCGCTGATCAAAGGGGAGATCCTGGCTGAAGAGCAACCAGCCAGCCTGGGGTGAGAAGCATCTAAGTTTGTGAGGACACTGAAAGTGTTAAGATCAGCTTAGAATGCGTTTTGCTTTTATTTCATTTGACCAAATCTGACTTGTTGTGCTTTGACTTATAATCACTTAAAATCTATCTTTGTAGTTAATACATTTGTTTGTTTATTCTACCTGAAGCAGTGCGTTTGGTTTGAAGCTTGTCAAATTCCCCTTGGGATACCAAGCCTGGTACATATCAATTTCTTTGTTAAACTGACGAACTCATATAAAGCTTACAGCGTCCAGCGGGTATAACTGGACACTGTAAGATGGAGGTTCCTAGGGTTGTGTCTGGGACTGGAGATATTGGCTAGTGTCATTCAGTTGCACAATCCAAGCAGTGGCTGGCCAAAAGTGCCCACTGGGAGCAGCTTACATGCCAGAGGCTGTGCGTGAACATCCCGGGAGTGGGGGTTCTCACAGCAGAGCAGGGAAAGGCTGGCTCCCAGAGCCAAGGATTGGAGTGGCCTGGCAGATCACCGGTCCAGATAGCACCAGGGGAACGTCACAAAGGTGCTGGATGTATATCATCACCTGAATAACACTCATGAGAGGAGGGATCGTATATTGATTACGGGGCTGACCTACGACTTGCGAGACCAGCCTTCCATTCCTCGCTTTGCTTCAGACATTTTGTGTGACCTCGAGCAAGCCAGCTAGCCTTTCTGTGCTTCAGTTCCTCGGGCGTACAATGCGGCTCGCAGCACTGCCCTATCTCCCAGGAGCGTACGTAATGAGATAATGATAATGGGGGCCAGATGAAGACTGAAGACATGATTTTGGAGTGAACCCTTTTGGTGCTGGTCCCACTAGCCCCCCAGCCCCAAATTCATGTGTGCCTCTGCTTTACGGGAAACTGGTATATAGCTGGGGCTGGCCATGGCCGAGGGGGTCGGTGTCTGCTGGGTACAGCCGGCACACTGAGCAGCTGTACTGCAGATCAATAGAAAGTCCTTGGGTGAAATCCTACCCCATCGAAGTCAATGGGAGTTCTGTCATAGACTTGACTTGGGTCATGATTTCACCCTTTGGCTCTCGCTTTTAATGATCAAATGCTCTGCGGGCAACGACTCTTCACATGAAATACAGGGTTTTTCCTACAATTTTAGCAGAAACACATTTCTTTGAAGTGATGCTCCAGAGCCCTCTCCCAGAGAAGGTAACAGCACTGGTCACTGCCTGCAGGAATGCAAGGCTTCGTCATCAGCACGTCTAAAATTAATCACAGTAACTTGCCATTTTCTACTATACTCTCCTCGTCACCATGATATTTAGTACCTTCCAGTAGTGCGGTAAGCAACGTGGCTAACGTCAGCCACAGGTGGTTGGATCTTTCTCTTAGCCTCTCCTCAGGGGATCTTCCTCGTGAAGCTCTTTACAAATCTTAATTAATTGAGTCTTTCCCTGTGAGGTGAGTATTATTTCCCCTATAATACAGATGGGGAAACTGAGGCACGGAGTGGCAAAGTAACTTGCCCGAGGTCAGAAAAAGCATGTGGCAGAGCAAGAAACAGATCTCTCAAGTCCTTGCTTTGGTCACAAGATCACCCTTGGTCCAAACGTAAGGGAACAGGAGCCTGCAACTTTTCTTCATTAATTATTATTATTATTAAGCAACATCTTATTAACCAAGCTGGGCTGAGACACTGGGGAACCATGCAGGTGAATTGTGCAAACACTAAACCACCCCCAGCTCCAGCCACTGCACAAGTGCTTTCGGTACGATATCACATGGGTATGGACATGAGCTTACCCTTTGCCAACTTCTCTGAGATCAGACGATGCCTGATCAATGGCCCTGACAGAACATCATTACCCCTAACACTCATCTAGGAATGAAGGGGAAGCAAAGCTCTTTAGCTGGCCAGACACCAGCCTGCTCTCTGACTAGGGCCAGCCCTAGACCAAATGGCGCTCCAGGCAAGAAGCATCTTCGGACCCTCCTACTCCATTTGTTAAACTTTTGAATGCCTTATATGTTAGTGCATCTGTAGCCCATTTCATTACTTTGATGCACAATTTGCATGCGTGATTTATCGCTATCATATAAGAGGATAAATTTGCACACTAGGATCTGTAAATATATAAGCAAGCCTGGAAGGTTCCATGAGATTCTACAAAGATCCAGAACATTCTAGAAGGTTAGTGAAAAATGAATCCACATATGGAATACCTGAAACATTTTACTTCAAACATTCTATTTTCCCTTTTGTCATTAACAACAAAACCAGCGCCCTGAGCCCGGCGCCCCACAAGCCCGGCACCCCAGGCAGTCGCCTGGATCACCTGCCCCTAAATCCGACCCTGTCTGTGACCTTCTGAAACAACTTATGCCAGCTGTACCCTCCCTGCCCCAGGGCAATGTTCCTGATCCTCACACAAAGCCGCTCCCTACTTTTCCCCCACACCTGCTTTGAACACAGGAGGATCTGTGGATATTGAGGCTCTTTTAAAAATACTAGGCATGGATCTGTTCTTTGAAGAACGTTTTATTTCCCTGGCTACATAAGACAGAGAAAGAGCAAAGGCTGCAATATTGAAGGGCTTTTACATCTGAACAGCATTAACCTTTTCCTCCAACACAGCTGCACACTCCTCTCGTTACCAGAAGGGCAATCAGCAAACAAGGGATCGTTATGCCAGGGGCTGAGAACCATGCTGTGAGAGATAAATCTAGGTGCACATACACAAGCCCAATACTGGTTTATCGGAGGGGCTCTGGCACACACTGTAAGAACTTGTGTACTATTGAGATGGGTCTGGATGATAAACCCAGATCCAAACATCCACAGATGCTGGGGACACTCAGGTTAGGATCTGAATTTAGCAGCTCTCTCTCTCTCTCATGGGCCAAACCAAAGTCTCACATCCAAACTTAATGAACCCCTGGCTCAGTGTTACCAACTTCATGCATTAAAATAATCTGAGTCCACACACACACCCCCCAAACCAGGTGATTGGCTTAAACATCATGAAATTTTTTAAAAAAATAAAGCAGAGTTATTTTTATTTGCCTTCTGGTTTTTGAGCCTTTACATTCCACATTTTCAAGCTTGCCTCCTTAACTACAAAGGCTAGAAATTTACTTTCACTTTTTAAATGGAAGCGGACATTCTCCTGTAATCACAGGACTCCAGGAGCTGAGGCGTGGCAGGTGGGGCTGCTCCATAATGCCCCCTCTAGGGCCAAACTCTACCTTAATCCATAAGATTTGGCCACCTGCTTGGAGCAGATCGGTGTCACTCTCTCAACATTTAGATAACAAAATAAACTCAGGATTTGGCTGTCTGCACTTTTATGCAAAGAAGCCAAACTTCAAATGCAAACAAACACTTAGTTGCAGCACTCGAAGGCAAGGGCCTGGCCCAGCCGTGGGGTCCAGGACTAGCACTGAGCAACACCTCCTCTGGTCCAGTCTCCCTCATCTCTCTCCTGAGAAGAAGCAGGCAAGCCTTCTTAACTGGTCTGCTGGCTCTTGATTGGTCTGCATTTCCTCCAGGCCCTTCTAGACCTTCGGAGGACTGTCTTGCTGGTAGCCTACTCTGAGTGGATTTTCCTTGAGCAGACAGGTGTCAGGGAGCCAATGGCTCCAGCAGGGGGCAGAAAAGGCCAGATAAACCCCATCACACGGGTCTTTAAGAAAAACACAAAATATTGCAAGACATGAAATAGAATCATAAGAGCTGGCAACACTGGGGTTTTATACAAACTGGCTATGTCTACACTGCACAAATGGCAGCATACAGCGTACATTCACTACATGCCCCCCTAGCATGGGTAAAAATAGCAGTGTAGGCAAGTAAAGACACCCCTGAACCCCCAGGCTCTATGCCCTACGCGGCTCTCTAAACACCCAAGCAGTGTCTCCTCCATCTAGGCAGTGTAGTGACCCGCCCGCTCCCACCACCAGAGCCTTTCCCCACTGCCTTTCCCCAGCCAGAACCTTCACTGACACCTGTAGCTATACACCACAGCATGGACACGGCCTGCTTTTCACTGCAACATGTAGCTATGCATACCCTACACGCTGCCCCAAGTTGTGTGTGGTGTAGACATAGCCACAGATACCATAGTGGATGTCACCCAAGGCACAAGCCCCTACCACTGCATGAGCTGACAAGCTAGCTCCATCATCTGGGAGTAAGTAGCAGGCTGTCACCATCACTGGAGCCCGTCACTAGAGGGAAATATACCCAAATGCATTACAAACACATACTCACATGCTTAATTTTAAGCATCAGAATAGTCTCATTGACTTTAGCGGGGCTACTCATCTGCTTACAGTTCAGCACTTGAGTAAGTATTCGCTAGACAAGGCCTAAGTCAGTATATTCCATGAAACTCCCTTAATCCTGGCAACTGCAGTCACATTTGACAATTCAGGACCATCTTGGCTACTGAGTTTTCACCAGCCCTGCTGGTGTTCTCAGGTTACAGCTGTGTGGTGGCCTCACAGGGGCACACTATTACAAGGAAGAGAAAGGGGGTAGGTAGGGAGTGAAACCAAAGCAATGGGCTGAGTCTGTTGTGTCACCCTCCCGTCCCAGTCCCTGCCCACCCCACGCTGAAGCTGTTATTGCCCCGCACATCCAGGTGGAGACGGACAAGTCATCGGCGCCTTACCCTGATAAGACGCCCAGCACCAGGTTGAGCATGAAGAAAGAGCCAATGATGATGAGAGGGATGAAGTAAAGCCAGTTCCAGGTATTTCCTGCGGCATCATTGGTCTGGAAATAGAGAAGGGGAGAAAGAAAAGCAATTTTTTATCAGTCCCCAGAAAAGCAAACATCTATCATTGCAGGACAATGGATCCTTCCTTTAGACTCCCTATAGACTGTGCCAATATTAATTAGCATTGTTACATGTGCAGCAATGAACTGAGGACTGAAATCCCAGGAACAGAATGAAGCAAATTTGGGTCTCACTGTACTCTGCATGAGGTGTCCACATCACAAAACTGCCACCAACTCCAGCAAGAATAGCAGTCTCTGATTGAAAGGACCCTAGGACCAGGCCCCTCCAACCTCAGGATGGCCTGTCGGCATTCCTTCCCGACACACACTTTCAGATATCCAATCCAGTCATCCACCTTGTTACAAATATAGCCCCTCCATTCCAAACTCCCTGCCTAAGATCTGAGCTACCATGTGCTTACATCTTTGTTGTGCTTACATCTGAACCAAGACACAAAGCACATAAGAGAGATGCAGTCTTCTTTTTGTGTGTGTTGCAATTAACGCAGCACATGGCGGCATGCCCAGAATTCACACACACACACCAAACAGAAAATGAGGAAAACGGTCGGCAAAACAAATAAGGTGAATGTATCCTTTAGCGTGATGCCAACTTCCCATCTGCTTATCCCGCACTTTGGAAGTCTGTCATCGAAACCAGTATCTAAAACTTTCTGAGTCAGCAACTGTGCGTATTAGGGAGGGGCGGGGGGGGAGACCGGGTTTTAGTTTCTGACAAAGTTTCTGCATTCTTTAACCACAAGGGAGCTCTTCCAGTAATTGCTGAAAAGTAAAATGCCATGTGGCCACTACACAAGCCAAGTGCCTTGGAGAGTTCAGATTCTTAAAATGCAGCAACTTTTGAATCAGCTGATTTGAAGACTATGGTTCCTCCATCCCTAATACAGGCCTGAAATGCCTGATAGACTGCAAACAGAACTTGGCAAATACTGCAGGAAAATACTTGTGAGCATTGGCTTGAACAAAATCCATTAACTCACTTTGACACAGAGACTTTTATTCACAATGTGTCATGCCTTATATTCACCATTCCCCAACATTTGTGCAAGTGAAATTTTGCTCACAACTGCATTCACACAGGAAGAGGAAGTGTCACAAAAGCATTGACAAGTATTTGAACCACATGCGTTCTTGAAGCCATCTTGAAAGCTCCTCGTGTTGTTTGGGAGTCATCCAATCAGGGAGCAAAAACAAATACCATGTGACTTAGATGACCGTCATACAGTATCAATTACAGATAATAAACACTTGAAATATTAATCGTGGCAAATAGCTCATGAGTCACCGCTGGAGTATACACTGACACAAACCATTCCTCGAATGACTGAGACGAAGGAGCAGATTCATGAGGAACGTTTCTCTGAATAACTAATGTATTTATAAATATCTACGGCAGCTGACGGGTGATTCGCCAACAATAAGAGGGGCTAACAAATTGTGCCTGCCAGCATTTCATGCTGTCCTAGTTAGAAACCTCTGAAAAGAAAGAAAGAAAAAGAAAAGGCACAGAGAGACTAAAGGAGGGAAAATAGGTTGTCCCACACCCGGTCCATCCTCCGCTCCCACAAAATACTTTATAAAAAAAAAAAGCCACCACCAATATATTTCAGCCTTCCCTCATCCTATATTTTTCCTTCTTTTGCAGTTTTTTCTGTCTTTCTGTTCTCTTCTTTCCTCCTGCTCTTAGTTTCCCTCCCTTCCACTCTTCTTCTCCTTTTCTGCCCTGCCCCTTCTCCACACGAGGATGAAGTGTGAGTACTGGTGTCACCCTTCATGCCCCTTTCCCCAGGTGCTCTGGCTCCGCTGATAGTGTTGATGCTCAGCGGTAAACCAACGGTGAATGTGTGCTACAGGTGCCCCTCCACAGAGGAGATGAGTCTGTTACAGCACCAGGGAGCGAACCAGGGTCTGTTTGCTCAAGCTTGAGCGGCATAGGCTCATTCAATTCCCACTCTGTTGGCTAACACAGCAGCACATGGATGGAGAGCTCCCTCAATGGCAGACCACATTTACCAATACTGGGAACTGCAGTCTGATACTGGGAACTGCCCTGATCAGGCTGATGGGACAAAGGGGTCTAGAAAAGGTCAAAGGGGGAGCACAGAGGAAGGGCATAGATGGGAAAAGAAAATTCATATAAACATGCACTGCTTTATAGGTTAAAATGTTGCCAAGTGATCATTTGTTTATCATTTACTTATTCATCTGAAGCCCAAACTTGGTGACCGATGCATGATTCAATTCCGCGATCAAAGCCTTTAGAACAGAATGGGCAGAAAGGTGTCTCATTGAACACCTTCCTTTGAGCGTCTGCAGGGCCTTATGTTTGGGGCAGGCAAGGGCATGTTTTTCACATGCACAAAGGGGTCAAGGTGCAGGCAGCATTCAGCAGGAAGGGAGAAGGGGCCATAGGAATCTTCTGGGGGGGGGGAGAGGTCTTGTGTCCACACGAGAGGGGGATCTTTTTTCCACAGCCCTAAAACTTGTGTCTGGACACAGCTTACGGCTCCAATCCTGCCCTAGCGAGATGCTTTCGTGAATCAACCTGTGAGCTACCAGGAAAAAGGAACTGCCAACCCTGGGCAGCAGAGCCCTGCAGCCGTATCATGACATGCTGAGCCGCAGAGGGCAGTGCTCCATGAGCGGAGCGGCTGGGCTGGACTCCCACATCCCGACTCCAGTCCTGCTCATTAAGTGGGGGAAGCCAAGAGATCAAATCAATTTTTATGCTTCCAGTTAATGCTTGGCTGACTGCTGCTCAATCCCAATCGCAGGACTAACCGGATAGGGAAGGGAGGGAAATAAAACACTTTTAATGAGGTGACAGCATTGTATCAAGATGCAGAAGGCGCTTACGGGCAGCTCCCAGCAGCTTCAGAACTGCTGCACTCATAGCAGTAACAACAGCGAGTTGGCACTTTACAAGCCCCACATGTATATCCAGCTAAGGGTTTATACATGGCCCCCCATCACCACCGTATCTGTGCACCTCACGATCTTTCAGGCGTTTATCCCTACAACCAGAGCTGGGGGAAACTTTTCATTTGAATTTGCCAAAATCAAGACGCTTTGGAAATTCAGGTCAAATCTGGCGAGTACTTTCGGCTGAATAAGCAATGAGGAGTTAGGGCAGGATTGCACTTGGGTGGCTAGCCCAACTCACCACCCATGCCACTGCAGCAGGGGCGGGCAAACTTTTTGGCCTGAGGGCCGCATCGGGTTTCCAAAATTGGGAAGGCTGTTCCTCCCCAAACAGCCAGGCGTGGCCCAGCCCTCGCCCCCTATCTGACCCCTCCTGCTTCTCACCCCCTGACGGCCCCCCAGGACCCCTGCCCCATACAACCACCCTGTTCCCGCCCTCTGACCACCCCACCCCCTATCCACACCCCCGCCCCTGACCACCACCCTGAACTCCCGTGCCCTCTATCCAACCCCCCCTGCTCCCTGCCCCCTGGCTGCCCCCGGAATCCCTGCCCCTGACTGCCCCCTGCTGCCCCATCCAACCCCCATCTCCTTCCTGACTGCCCCCCCCCCGGGACCCCTGCCCCTATTCAACCCCCCTGTTCCCTGCCCCGCCCCATCCACATCCCCTCCCCCTGACCACCACCCCCAACTCCCCTCCCCTCTATCCAACCCCCCCATTCCCTGCCCCCTTACCGCACTGCCTGGAGCACCAGTGGCTGGCGGTGCTACAGCCGCACCGCCCGGTTGGAGCCAGCCACGCCACCGCCGCTGCCACCGCACAGCACGGAGACCGGGTCAGGCCAGGCTCTGCAGCTGTGCTGCCCCAGGAGCTCACAGCCCCACAGCCCAGAGCATTGCGCTGGCGGCAGAGCAAGCTGAGGCTGTGGGGGAGGGGGAACTGCAGGGGAGGAGCCGGGGACTAGCCTCCCGGGCCAGGAGCTCAGGGGCCGGGCAGGAGGGTCCCGTGGGCCGTATGTGGCCCGCGGGCCATAGTTTGCCCACCTCTGCACTACAGCCACGTTGCTCGTAAGCACTAGCTCGAGAGGAACCAGCATGTATACATCTACCTGAGCTGGGAATCACACCTCCCAGATCAGGGATGGACAAACTACGGCCCGGGGACTGCATCCGGCCCTCCAGACATTTTAATCCGGCCCTCGAGCTCGCTCCGGGGAGTGGGGTCCTGGGCTTGCCCTGCTCCGGCGCTCCAGCTGGGGAGCGGGGTCAGGAGCTTGCCCCGCTCTGCGCAGCTCCTGGAAGCAGCAGCATGTCCCTCCTCCAGCTTCTACGTGTAGGGGCAATCAGGGGGCTCCG